GAGTATTCAAAAGTGGTAGGACAGGTTCTGTACAGAGAAACCACACATTATTTACTTTTACAAAAAAATCCAGTAGATAGAAAGCTCTAAATCTATATGCACAGACAGAGCACAACTACAGAACTCAACCAAGGTAGCCTAGTACGCACACATATTTAACATGTACATAAAGCATAGGTGGTTTCATCTTAATAAAAGAATAAAAAGTATTTTGGATGGTGTTTAGACACCTGGTGGGTGTGGAGCAGCAGTGAAAATGTTTATTAGGGATATTTATTAAACTCTGAATTTTTAGACAATTAAATCCAATTGCAAAATGGAGGCAGAAATGGCCAAACTGGATGGAGATTTTTCCAAATCAGTAATTTTAGCCTTAATTTTGCCGTATGGCTTTAATTTGCTAAAATTCAGATTCAGAGTTTAGAACAAAGCACCATAATTCACCATTTTAATACTATACTGTCATAGATTATGTTTAAAATTGTTCATATCTGGTAGAATTGCTGTATTGAGTACACAGCAATATTTTTTTGTTCTCCCATACATACATACATACATCCATACATGGGGACAATACTTCGTAATTTATTACAGATCCAAAAATCCTACTCAGTCTGTAAATGTAATTTGTCAGCCAGAGTTTGTTCATTAAAGAGAGTTTAATGTTTTGAAATTGTTCAGACACGTCTGAAGCCAGTGAGTACATATCTCCAGAATGTGATTTTGCACCAGATAAATCAACTATTCCATTCAATCAACGCTAACTTCTTTAATGTTAAATGGCTTCATTATGCGTAATTAAATGGACTATAGTCACCAAATTGCAGGAAATAGGGGATGAACAGACTGGTACCCACCATTGCAGAAGAACTCTTTTTCAGAGAGCCAATGTGGCTTCAGAGCTTGAAGGAGCACCTTGGACATGCTATTTGTTCTCAGACAACACCAAGAGAAATGTCAGGAACAGAACAATGCATTGTATGTGACGTTTGTTGACCTCACCAAAGCGTTCAACACTGTGCACATTAAGGTATGTGGCAAATCTTGGAAATCTTGGAAAGCCCCCTAAGTTCTTCAATATAATCATTCAGATATACAAAGTACAACAATGATATACAACATATGACCTTCCGGAACCCTTTCTTATAGGCAAAGGTGTAAAACAAAGTTGTGTTCTTGCACCAAGTCTCTTCACAATCGTTTACAGCTCGATGCTTGAAAGGGCACCTAAGGACCTTGATAAATAGGAAGGTGTCTATCAGTGGAGGAACTAATGCCCTGGTGCAAATAAATGTTTTGGGCCCTCCTCTAGCGCAAGGGTGGCCCATCTGTTGTACAAGTCCCAAGATGCTATGCCAGCTGGAGATCTACCATTCACCCATTCTTGCAGAGTTCTATTTGTGAGCAGTGTTGTGTGTTTGAATGTAATCAGGTTTTTGTATCAAGTACTTGAGTGCATGTAGAAGTGTATTTGTATGTACTCCTGCCATTGGAATGCAGGTGTGTGTTTGTAGTAGTTTTGACTTTTTGACTTTTAAACACAGGTGTCCATTTGTGTGTAGTATTGGCATGTGAATGAAGGTGTATATATATATATATATATATAATTTTGGCACTTTAATACACGTTGTGTTTGTATATAATCTTTGTGTGACACATACACTACCACATACATACACATTTAGAGACATATACACGGACACATTCAGATAAACGCTTACACACACACACATACTGAAACAAACACACACACACACCCTGGCACACAGATGCACACACTGATACATACACACACCTTTGCGCGCAGGTACACACACTGATACATACAAACAAGCTGAAATACACAAACTCACATAATTAATTTTAGCCACCATGCTGTTAAATACCTTTTATGTCCTGGAGGGTGGCTGCTGCTGCCTGAGTTTGATGGGAGTGTGGGTCTGGATGAAGGTCTCCTTCAGTGCTGCCTCCTCCTGCTCCTCCTGTGTCTCCTGTCTTTCCTGCGTGACTGTTCTTGTAGCAGTTTGAGGAAGTGAGAGGAATTAGTTTCCTTCCAGCTTGCCATTGTGAGGGGCGTAGTGGCACTCTTAAAGGGCAGCACCACTCCACTGGGTACCTTTTCAGCAATACTCATCAGGTGGCCCTAAGTGCATGGGCCCCCGCAGTGTGCGGGCCACGATACAGTAGTTCGGTCACTGGTGTCTTTATACATTACAACACTGGATGCTGCCTATTTAACCTGAGATGACTATAGGCCCACACCAATGCAGTGGGCCAGCGCATCAGATAGGTGCTTATTTTCGCTGAAGATGCTGCCCTTGTTTCCCACACGATGACAGCCCTGTAGCGAATGATTTGCAGAGATCTTTGGATTAGAAGTCAGCCTGAAGAAGACAGAAGTCCTCTACCAGCCTACACCTCATGAAGTTTACCATCATCCATGCATCCCCATTGGCGAACCAGTGCTGAAGACAGTCAGTTCAGCTACATTGGGTGCATCATCTCTTTAATCTGCCAAGATAAACTGAGAGATAGATAGCAGACTGTCAAACAGAGAGTTTGGCAGACTGTGTAAGTGACTCTGGAACAACCAACACGTAAACAGAGGCACAAAGATCAGTGTGTACAGAACAGTCGTATTGACCCCTGTCCAATATGGTGTGGGTTACCTATTGCCATCACCTGTGACTCCTTGAGCGGCTCTACCTATGATTTCGGCCGAGGGAATTCGTGGCCACTTGCGAGTGGTGGCCGGATGTTGGCCTCTCGGTGACCGTAAGAGATTCAAAATGTGTGGCCGTGACTTGGGGTGCCCTAGCTGAGCCCTAAAGAAGGGCGAGTGAGGTGGCTAACTATGATTTTGGCCGTGGGGCTGAACCTCCATGTTGAGGTGGGGAGTAGACCTGGGGACTTTTGTATTTACTTAGGGTTTCTAAAGCCAGCACATAACCCTGAATGCCAGTTCTCTACACTGATGGGGCTTGTCTCCTTGAATGATGTACTCGAACATATGTAGATACTAACCTTGAGTATTAGTTTTATCGCTTTGGACGAGGCACAGGAAGTCTTCAATATATACTTGCTTCTGAAGGGGACGGGTCCGGCCACGGTATCCTAGAGGTAAGATAGATGCTAGTGGGCCTGAGGCGTGCCATAGGTATGCTTGGTGTAAAAAATGTCGAACGTATGGATAGGTGTGTATCAATGATACTGTAACATAAGAACCTGTGTAACATGAGGGATCTGAACGTTGGTCTGTAATTAGAGACAAGCCCCAGGTTCCCACAATTAAGAATTTAAATGGTACGTAGGTGGAGTGAGGCCTTACAAGAAACTTAATCATAGTGAGTAAGATTAACAATACCTGGTACAGAAATACAGGATACCAGGTAGGCTGTAGATGGTTGATGGCGTAGAACTTGGCAAAACTGCGGTCTAAGTAATAAAAAAAGGAAAAAACGAAAGACAAGCAATGTACCATAAAAAAATTGTAGTAGCAAAGAGGTGTTGATTTAGGGGGTGCTTGTTGTTGAAATCGTAGTGAAGGGTCTTTGCCGTGGCCCATGTAGATGTTTAGAACCCACCTAGGAGGGAGGTGGGGGGGGGGGGAATGGAGGCTGAATGAGGCCATGGAAGCTGATTGAGGTCTCAGGGGAAGAAACGTACAACTGGTAAACCTTTCTTACCTGAAACTGTAATACTGGGATAACACTTCCTGGAGACTGTTTGAAGGAAATTTAGTTGAGCCTAAAATCATACGCATGCTAAGTATATGAAACCAGTATAAGGTTTAGGAAAACAGTGATTTAGCAGCAATCGCGCTTATGGCATGTATTGAGCTTGGTGAAAAATGAACCGTGAGAGCTTAACCTAATGGCATGCTAAAACAAAGATAAATACGTAGTTGTTTACAGAGCGAACTTAGTTACTCTGAAAGCCCAGGCTTGTGATTAGGGAAAGGAAATAAAATTATATTATGTGAAACTAAGTTACAGCGGGAGTAAATAATGGTGCGGAGTGGTGTTTTTAGTATGAATTTCCGTGTCTGTGCCTTTAAGAAGATTTCCCCAGTGTGTAAAAATGAAGTGTCCCATAAAATTAAATGAACATAGCCGAGGCGTCATGATAGAACAGATTTTATATTCTTACCAGTAATAAAACTAACGAGCCATAACGGAACACATAATTTAAATAGAGGAGGCTGAAAAAGTGAAAGGTAGAGAATTCTTTTGTATGTTATAACAATTTCTCTTAGTAACAGATAGGTGAATTAACAGTAAAGCCTACTGTGTTCTGCTAGAAACGAACAAATGGACAGGACTGATTGAAAGAAATACCTGAGGTCGGTTAGTTGACAGCACAAAAGAACAAACGAAAGCCATGTACATTGCAGTCGGCTGTTTTACACCGTACGGAATTATAGACGAACGTGAGTATGTTGTGCGTTCGGCAGTTTTTAACCATACAAAAGAACAAATGAAGGTGAGTGTATCCTGCTGTCGGCTGTTTAGCCGCACGAACCGCAGAAGTACACGAACGGATGAATATGCATGAACATGTAAGTATTGTGAAGGGAGCCTATCCCCGCATTTTTAGGCCCGAACGTTGGAAATAGCCAAATGCTATTTCCCACGTTATGCTTACGTGGATGTGCCGGTCTCGTGACTGGAAACCAGGTACCGATGTCGGTGAGAAGCTGGTTGGCAGGCATGGAGGTCGGAGGCAGGAAAGCTGTTGGTGACGAACTGCTGCTGGAGGCTAGAATTTTTTGGCGGGAACTACGGACCGAAGTGCTGGTTGCTATGGAGAGAACAAACAGCTTAAACGGCAAAGATGAGTAGGGGCTTAGGAGTTTAAATAGGGGCCATAACTCCTCCCACAAATTCAGGCCAAATGGCCTTTTAATATATATAATGAATTTCACAACTCAAAACTTTCCAAAGCTTATTTATTGAAGTAAGCAAATAAATAGACAAATATTTGTTAACATACATGTAATGCTTTGGTAAAATTAGACTTAAAAGTTTACATGTTATATTTTATTAAGAAAAATAGATAAATATATAAGAGAAACCTTTAAAGTAAAAATTTTTTATTTCAGAGTCCTGGTTTTGAGGTCAGATTTCATGGCTTTTTTTAGGCGTTCTGCCACATCCTCGATTCTTAGACATATGGTTAAGAAAGATAACTGCATCTTTATAGCCCCGGCAGTAATATTCATTCAGCACCTGTCGGATAAAAAAGTATGGTGAAACACACTGGGGGATTTTTATCAAAGTGTTTTGAAAAGTTATGGTTAAATTCCACCATTATGGGGTCAAGGATTTTTTTCCCTAGTTTATTGAAAAATTGAAAGCACTTCAGATTGGATCTTTGCCTTCCTTTGGATCGACAGTAAAAACAGATGTGAGAAAGGCTGTTCTTGATGGCACCTGTAAAGTGCTCTAAGATTGATCTGAAAAGGGATAGTTCTTTTTGTAGTATTACCTTTAGTTCACCTTTATACACCAATATTTTGTTACATGGAGTTGAACTATTTGTTTCTCTGTATCTTTTTACATGCTGCCTTGGTATGGGTATTAAGGGATAAATTTGTTACTTATTTATAGCTCTGCATTTGATGTTATTTGGTGGGGTTTATCACCTAAACACGAAATATGACATTTGTATTTCTGATTTTATTGTGTGATCCCAAGTGTTTTAAGCTGCTGTCAATATACAAGATTTATTAATTCACATTAAGTGGAAATTAACACATCTGTTTGTAATTTTATATTTAAATAAATAAATTGTGATGAAAATTAAAAGTAAAAATGTCAGTGATTCTTTGATCAATCTACCCCGGTGGTGCTAACATTCGTAATCACATTGAAAAGTTTTATTCCACAGTAGAATCCTTTGATACAAGTGTCTATATATGCTCTAACAAACTAATCTGTGCTTATTCCAACAAACAAATAGGAAAAAATTATATGCAACATCTTCCATGATCCATTCAGAAATCCAATTTTAACTCTTTCGGATAAAAAACAAAACAAAACAACCACATCTAAAAAATGAGTCCACCCGTATTCTGAAGAAATGAAATATTCCTATCAGTAACTCATCACAGTGGAATATTTCCTTAGAAGTTTGATGGTAGGCAGGGGCATAACTAGAACACAGGGCCCCGGTGCAGGTATCATCAAAAGGGCACCCTTTAAAGTCTTACTGATACATACACACACACACATGCACTGTCAGACACACAGTCATTGGCACACAAACTTTTTCACACACAAATACACTCACTCAAAAAAAACACACAAATACACTCACTGACAGACCCATACTCTCAATGATTTGACATTCATTGACAGACACACTATCACTGATTTGACATATACCGACAGACACACACACACTCACTGACAGAAACACTCATTAATAATTTGACACCCATTGACATCCACTCACTGACAAGCACTGATTTGACACACACACACACACACACACTCACTGACACACTCAATGATTTGACACACACTGACATACACACTCACTGATTTTACACACACACTGACAGACACATATACTGACTCACACACACTGACATATACTTACTGACAAACACACTCACTGATTTGATACACACTGAAAGACACACATGCATACTAACAGACACACACTGATTAGACACAAACACTCACTCATTGACAAACACATACACATTTTCTCACACAGACACTCGAAAAGTTATTTTTTTGTTTAAAACCACCCAGAATTCCCAGTATGTACATTAGTGGCAGTACATGGTATATTGGTTTAACAATAAAACACATGAGTATTCTGACCTGCAGTTACCAGCTGGGATAGTGCTCCTATTAGGATCATTCAGCAGCCACTTTCCACCAATCACTGCCTGCCATACCACGTGGCCCTCAGGTACCGCAAGGACAGGGGGTGAAAATAGAACACAACTATACACAGGACAGTAGCCTGGATAGAACGAAGTCGGCGGCTAAATAGGGGGAGGGTTAGGAGTGGGGATGGAAATTGCAAGCTACTAATGGTTGGCGGCGGCAGAATGCAATAATCTACACCTAAAAAAAAACAACTCACAAAGAGGCATGACCAGTCATTCAGCAGGCATTCCGCACACATTGGGGAAATATATGAAGAAGGCATGGTTAGTTGCCAAGGTGACTGCAGGTGGTGAGTGCAGATAGTCAGAACATGCAGGGGTCGACAGGGCAGCCGGGCCCCCTCGAGTGACAGGCCCAGGCACAGCAGCAACCACTGCGACCTTGGTAGTTCCGCCACTGATGGTAGGTAGATTCAACTAGCCCACCAGATAAACCTGTTCCTTAAAGGGAAGAGCAGAGCTGCACTTAATTCCTTGACAAAGACAGGTGGAAACGTTGCTGCTCTTTCACTTGTTTGAACCAATAAAACTGCCTGGACATCTTATTATTTGTTATTTGATACTGAGCAGCAGGCACATTTCTAATTTCAGAAACATCTGGGGCTTAAACCCAAATGAAAATTTTATGACCCTATGCTAACATAAAGGTGGGGATAAGTCATAAGATATCTCAACCTATTTACGTTATGTTCTACCCACATAGAGCATTCTGCTGCAGATCTTTAGGATTTCAATGAATGCATAGCCAGGTATTCAAATGATCCCACCACACTGCCTATCTAGGCAAACTAATAGAGGAGTATATAGCAATCTTCAGTTCCCCAGCACCTTCCATGTGTACCCACATGGGCGTAGGGGTGGAATGGGCGGTGGGGGGGGGGGAGGGAGGAAGGGAGGGCGGGCAGCACTACCTCCATCCCCTCAAGTGGAGCTCTATTTTACGGATTTTATTTTTTTTTTTAATAGGCAGCTGCTTTGAGAAACAGCTGCCTGATGTAAAATAAAAAAAATAAAAAACTGATATCTTCTGGCCCCCTTCATTAACTGTAGAGAACTGGAGCCAAGGAACCCCACACCCGGGGTTTCAGCCCTCAAATCCCCTAGCATTGTCTCTGCTAACCAGCAGTCAAAAGCCGACGTGATTAGCATGGAAGTGGTATGTACACATATGGTTTAGATTGCACTTTGCTTTCCTACACCAGGATTACTTGTATTGGCTTATCCTGGTGATGTAATAAACTTGACTGATTGTTAGTTTTGAAGGTATTTTTTAAAATGTCATTGATCATAAGTAAGAAGAAAAGCAGACCTTGCTGTTTCTTACCATGGTCTGGGGTGGAAATAGTGCATAGATCACTCTACGGAGATTCTCTATTGACAGCTGGAAACTGGCATTCAAAACAAAAACGCAAAAAGACACAGGACAGTCCCTAGGACAAATGTCAATCTCTCCTGAGAATGGAGACACTGTAAGGATGGAGCTTAGGTTGACAAAAGGATGGAAATTGGTACAACCACCATCGAAATATCTCTGTAAAAAAACAAGAGAGAAACGACATGGAAAAACAACCATTCTATCTTTTATGCATGTCCATAGGAAAAAAACAAAACAAAAAAAAAACAATGGAAGCAAGGTTTTATTTTTGATTGTAATTAACACTACAATTTAAAATCAGACAGTGCTCTTAATAAAAAATAAAAACAATTATAAAAAAACCCCAAAAAACTACATATCTATTGAAGCATATCTTTGCAACTGTAGACATTGCTGCCCACTACTGGTGAAAGTACTTGAGTGTTAAAAATAAAGAAATGTCTGGCCAAATTTTGGAAAATTAACCACATGCAGCAATTAAATGTGTTATCCTAAAGTGGGATTAATTACAATCCATTCAATTAATTCTATTATAAAAACTTGTCGAATACCATGAGACTGAACATGGGTATACAAATAAAGAAAAACACTTTATGACAGCATCAGTCTGCATATTTTGATTGTCAGGTCCTTGCGCAGAGATTGTTCTGTGGTCCTAAACCACTGCTGAATTACATCCTTACCAACATTTTGGTCTTGGGGGGGCATAATATAAGAAAGCTGCACAACTATGCTGATGCAGATTAAGTTATTACATTGTAATAGCACAGTATATATTACTATTATATCCCCACTCCGGCAGTCTGTGTTAACACAAGAGCAGGAAAGAGATTTTAAGGGACACTATAGTCACCAGAACAACTACAGCTTATTGAATTTGTTCTGGTGAGTAGAATCATTACCTTCAGGCATTTTGCAGTAAACAATGTCTTTTCAGAGAAAATGCAGTGTTTACATTATAGCCTAGTGATAACTTCACTGGCCACTCCTCAGATGACTGTTAGAGATCCTTCCTGGGTCATGGCTGCCTAAAGTGCATCCAAACATTCAGTATCCCCTCCCTCTGCATGAGGACACTGAACTTTCCTGATAGAGATTCACTGATTCAATTCATCTCTATGAGGAGATGCTGATTGGCAAGGGCTGTGTTTGAATCATGCTGGTTCTGCCCCTGATCTGCCTCTGTCAGTCTCAGCCAATCCTAAGGGGAAGCATTGTGATTGGATCAGGCTACCACACGTCTGATGAGGTCAGCAGACAGCTGTTTATTCTGAGGCAAACAGCATGCAGAGTTACAGCTTCAGGCTTGAATACAGTAAGATTTTGCTAGATTTATGGAGGTATGAGGGGCCCACGGGGGCTAGATGGTGAATTTAACACTATAGGGTCAGGAATACAAGTTTGTGTTCATGACCCTATAGTGATCCTTTAAGCTATCCAGACTTTCCCATTCCACTGCTAGAGCATTAGGAGAATAGAATATCATTGAAGGTCCAGCTATTTTTGGTCATTTGGGAGTAGACTTCCACTTCTAACTGCATCCCATGATCCTTATAATGTGCCAGTGAACAGTGATAATCTTCTAATTGATGTTACTGTATTCCTGCCTATTCCAACAGGAAGTTATTTTATGTAATGATGTAACTACTATAATTTATGTAATAGAATGAATTAATATGACAAAAGTCAAGACACTTATTTTACAACACAATTAGTTTACTGCGCTAGATACAAACATGGCTTGATTCAACTGTTGCAATAGTGTGCAAAAAGGAATTCTTAAAATATAGGTCATGCTGGATTCGTATTGGATTTAATTGTAGTTTTAGTTCAGTGTGCCTGTCTGTGACATATCTTGCATACGTTGCAGTGACAAGTAATGAGCTCATTCCCTTTTTTTTCTTATTTCGATCTGTCATTGTTAAGATGTATAGGGAAGCTAAATTTATGTAAATAATATTAAATGGAAGGCATATAATGGAGGCTATAAGGCAAGGTGACCAATGCATTAAAGGTGATATGCCAACTTTAAGAACTACATTTACTATTAGATTTTTATATTTATCAATGATAAAAATAAACTATTAATAAATTGGTTTGTATGTTTTCATATGTTTAGGAGTTAGTCCTGGTTGGAGGTATGTAAGCATGTAACATGTCAGAGGATGTAAATGTTGTAACTTATTTGCATGAATACAGAAGCAGTAGCCAGTTCTTCACCCACCATGTTATTTACACAGACTTTCAATTTATATGAGAATGTAAGCTATTATAATTGCAGTGTGTGGGGTCAGGAAGCACCCAGGTTAGTGGAAGATTTTGTGAAGTTTTCTACTATGTCTTTAAAAAAAAAAAAACCCAAAAAACATGTCTTTGTGCTTGATTGCAACTTTGGCATTAACATTTCCCTTGTTTGTAAGTGCAAATTGCACATGTTCACTCTCTTACTATTCATCAGTAAATTTATACATAAATACGTGCACTGATCTTATGGTTGTGGTTAAGAAGGTCCTGAATGCTCAGGGATTAAACCATTAATGAACAGTCTAACCCTAAATTCTTCAATACAGATTCAATCAGCTTCAGTCAAGAAACCTTAGACCTGTTTGTCTGATAGGCTGAGAGCTTCAGTTTATCGGTGGCTCCCCATTTACAAACCAAAGTAAAAAAAGATACATATGTGCAGAATAATAATAAGGATTCAGGTCTTTGACAAGCATTAAACTTTCACTTACCCCAGTGGGAGCCATATTTTGTATGCCCTTAAAATCCCAACAAGGGCATTTCAAATTTTGACTGTGGCCAGGGAAATGGATTAGATGAATAGATTACTTTGGAACACCCATCCAAAGCCTTACTTCAAACTATATTTTTATATACCTTCTAGATGGAATCATTGGAATCATCTATTTAAACTTCATGTTACCCGAAAATTCTTCCACGATTTGGTCCCTTTATTTATTAATAAGATAATGAACTTTGGGAACAAAATTTGTAAAACTTTTGAAAAATAGTAAATGGTATTTAAAAGAGTACTAGTGGGACACACTTTTATCTGCACTACATGTTAAAGCTATGTTACCCAACAGTAAGCAACACCTAAAGAGGGGGTGGAAATACATAGTAAATGCTTTATCATAAAATGTATTTTAAAACGATTTTTACTTTCCTTTATTTTAAAATGGAAAAACAAGCCCAAAATAAAAGGAAAAGATCCAGCAAATTTACTAGTGTAAGCAAAGGTACTGGAGCGGTTATATAAAATCAGGAGATCTAATTTTGATCGTTACCCTTAATCTACATTTTTTTAAATAAACCATTACTTACCACTCCTCGAAATGAAGGAGGAACAATCCCACAGTAAAAAGGAACAAAACAACTGCATATTAGAACCTGGATAAGTGGAGAAAGTAGAAGATGTCAACATGTTACAGTTGAATACAGTTGAACAATTACTAGGTCCATTGTGGTCTATTAGTCTAGCTTAAAGGGACACTAGTCCCCAAAACAACCTTAGCTTAATGAAGCAGTTTGTGTGTATAGATTACGCCCCAGCAGTCTCGATGCTCAATTCTCTACCATTTAGGAGCAATCCCAAGCTCAGTCAGCCAATCACACCAACATGGGAGTAGGGGTGAATGTTACACTAATGTATCAGAAACTGACCTCTTATCATAGGCGTGTGCAGCCTATTGCATTAGGGTGTGCACCCTAAAGCACAAACACACACCGCGTGTATATTTATGTGTGATATATATATATATATATATATACACACACACACACACACACACACACACATACACTGCTGTGTGTGTGTGTGCTGTGTGAGGGTGGTTTGAGGGTGTTGTGTGTGAGGGTGCTGTTAGTGTAATGTGTGTGTGAGGGTGCGGTTTGTGTGCTGTGTGTGTGTGGGTGCTGTATGTGTGTAGATGCATGTGTGTGTAGATGCATGTGGGTGCATGTGTGTGTGTGCATGTGTGTAGATGCATGTGTGTGTGCATGTGTGTAGGTGCTGTATGTGTGGGTGTGTGTGGGTGATTGTGGGGGGTGGAGGTGGGGGTACATTACTTAATATTCCCCGTCCCTTATTACCTTATGTAGGGAGGGGGGACCGTGCTGCTGCCATCCCTGGTAGTCCAGTGGAGAGTGAACTCTAGCCTGTGGGGCTAGAGTTCACTCTCGCAAGATCCGAGCGTTGCCGTGGCAACACTCCGACCTTGCGAGAGGAACCCAGCAGAGCTGCTGGTTGAGCTCCCCGGGTCCTCTCCTGCCTCCCTCCCTGCCTGTGGGTCGGTGGGGAGGGAGACTGAGAGCAGAGCCGGCGCTCGGATAGTACTGGCTCTGCATGCATCTCTGCATCCTGAGATCTCCCCTGCCGGTCTCACTCCATAGGCGTGCTGCGAGGATTAGGGTGTGCCCAGGCACACCCGGCACACCCTGTGCGCACGCCTATGCCTCTTATGGTGGCAGCACTGGCACACTGGAGAGAAGGAGAGTACTAACTGAGTAGATCATTAGACATCTAAACATATAAGTTGTGATAGGGGCGTAAAAAGCCAAAGCAAGAGTGTAAGGAGAGTAAGAAGGTGTAGCAAGGTGTAAGAAGAGGAAAAGTTGGTTGAGGTGTGCTGGAACCAACGTAGCAGTAGACCTGTAAATAAAGAGGGCCCTGCCAGTAAGGAGTAAAGAAAAGTATAAAAAAGGGAGAGGATGGTGGGTTCAAGCAAAGCTAAGGAACGAACGGGACAGGTGGAGGTGAGCAGTGGCCTTATATAGGGGACCATGCACCTCTCACAACTGCAGGCCAAGCCTTCGCATTTGTGACAGGGGCATAAAAAGCAAAAGCAAGAGTCTAAGGAGAGTAGGAAGGTGTAGCAAGGTGTAAGAAGAGGAAAAGTCCGTTGAGGTGTGCCGGAACCGACATAGCAGTAGGCCTGTAAATAAAGAGGGCAAAAATAGATACAGACTAGAATTTATTACAATCAACAACAAAAAAGAAGAGCATGAATTACATAGACGTATTATGAAAGGCGTGTCTGAGTTCTTGTACTGGTATGGGATGTACAGAGAGTATGCAGAGGACTTCCAGGCAATATTGTAGGTTGGTCGTGGTAGTTGTGGTAAATTGACGGGATCTAAGAAAACCGTAGAAAGCCAGGTAAATTGCAGTTTTAATTACATGGTCGGTGCTAGGATCAAGTGGACCGGCATCTAAAATTGGATGTCAAAGGGTAACCTCCTATGTGTTGGGGCGTGGCCGGTTTTCTGAATGCCTCTAAGTATGGATTTGATCTGGTATGAAGACATGAAGCTGTGTTTGTTGGGAAATAAAAGCAACGTGTGGTGTTGTATACCTGATAGTGCGAGTTTAAGGGGGCAAAAGGAAGCAAAACCTACCACAGTCGACATAGCAAAAGAATCAGTAATACCATACTCCGATAAAAACCTCAAACAAGGAGAAGGCCCTGTCATAAGCCCTGCGTGTGTTAATGGAAAGAGACAGTCGGGCAAGATGACGGCCGTGGGACTTCGAAATGTTGAAGTCTGGAGAAGGGAAAGTTCAGCGGTGTTCGTGCAGTCGCGTATCAAATTTGAGTTATATGAACTCGACGACCAAACACCGCTGAACGCGTTTGACTGAAATAAAACTGCCGCCGCCACGTGTTCGTATGTCGAATGGCGGCCACTTCAACTACTTCGGCTGTATCCGAAGTGCCACTTCAAAAGTGCAAATCCTTTCCAATAGTTTTTAAAGTGGCAGAAACAGTACTTTAGAATCCAATATGTACAAATGGAGTTTTTTAAAAAGCAATACACCCCAGGGGCCATAGTCACAGGGCAAATGAAGAACACTCCTGAACAACAAACAACGTCAGGAGCGTCTTACCTGGGCTAAAGAAAAACAAACCTGGTCTGTTGCTCAGTGGTTCAAAGTCCTCTTTTCTGATGAGAGCAACTTTTGCATCTCATTTGGAAACCAAGGACCCAGAGTCTGGAGGAAGAATGGAGAGGCACTCACTGCAAGATGCTTGAAGTCCAGTGTGAAGTTTCCACAGTCTGTGTTAATTTGGGGAGCCATGTCATCTGCTGGTGTTGGTCCACTGTGCTTCATTAAGTCCAGGGTCAACACAGCCGTCTACCAGGAGATTACGGAGCACTTCATGTTTTCTTCTGCAGACGAGCTTTATGGGGATGCTGACCTTATTTTCCCACACTGCCAAAAGCACCAAATCCTGGTTCAATGACCGTGGGGTTACTGTGCTTGATTAGCCAGCAAACTTGCCTGACCTGAACCCCATAGAGAATCTATGGGGCATAGCCAAGATAAAGATGAGATGACAGGAAAAAACAATACATACCCAACCACGAGGAGAGGAGACAGCTTGAAAGCGTTCGAACAAAGAAAAAAAATGAAAGCACAGCAAAAGAAAATAGAGAGGCGTTCGCAGGAAAGGAGCGACAGCCAAACAGGCAAGAAAAAACACACAGCAAGGGAACGCTTAGTTGCAGTGAACCAAAAAGGGAGCAGAGAGATCTGCAGATTTTGCAAGCTGTTTTTAGCTGTTTTTAGATATAACTCCAATGAACAAACTGCATAATTAAATGCATGGATGTTTTCATTTGGGGTATATCTACTAAACAATGGTTTGTTTAATTTTGTATTTTGGAGTGTCCCTTCAACTACCACAGCAAGGTATGTAGATGTGAAGGATCTGTTCTAACATGATTTTCCCTGTATTAAACCTTTCAGTACGGGGCGTGGCTAACCGCCGAGCTTAATGGTCGCTTGAACCCGAGCTCTGGCTACCAAGGCCGACAATCTACAACAATCCGGACGCTTAGGACCTGCAAATTGCTAAAATAAAGAATAGCACAAACTAAAGCAAAGAAAAACTCTGCAAAAAACGAAAAACTAAACTTTTTTGGCAGCAAACAACAACTAGATGCCACGGAGCAGCTGCGGCCTTCGCAAGATGGCGACGCCAGCCCGAATCCTCGAGACTCACAACAAGATACAGGATTGCCTACAATAACCGATCAACTCACCAAAAGCTACCTGCAAGTAGCGCTTGACAACCTATCCCAGAAACTAATCATGTCTTGGCAACACTCCATGGACTCGCTACGAAGAGATGTACAAGAGATCAACAAACGGACAACACACGTCGAATCCAAAATGGACGACTTTGCTGTGGCACATAATGACCTCGCGAGCCATGTAGAGCATCTGGAGCAAAAACTTACAATGACAGAAGTGAAACTAGCGGACCTTGAGGATCGTTCCAGGAGGAACAACCTGCGGCTGCGGGGAGTCCCTGAATCAGTCAGGCCGGAGGATCTACAGGCATTTGTAAGAGGCCTCATCAAGGCCTATGCACCTGATAAACCGGGGGAGATGCTACTCCTGGACCGAGTACACAGGATCCCAAAACCAAGGTACCTGCCAGAAACTGTGCCAAGAGATGTACTCACACGAGTACACTATTATCATATAAAGGAGCTAATAATGCGCATGAGCAGAAATAAATCTGCACCACATCCAGACTACCCATCAGTAAAAATATTTGCGGCTCTGTCCGCTACAACGTTAAAAAAAAGAAAGGATCTTTTCCATCTTGCGGACAGCTTAAGAGCCAATGGCATGAGATTTCGATGGGGGTTCCCGACAAAAATGATTATCTCCCGAGAGGGTAAGCTACATACCATCTCCTCACCTGAAGAAGGAGCGAAGCTCCTGCAAACCTGGGGTATAGCGAGCAAGGCAACGGAGAAAGTGGCGACGTCGATTGCAGGTGAAATGGAATACAATACCTGCAAAACGAGCTGATCACGATCATTGTTAAATGGAGCTGGTGACCAGAATACTAAATTACCACACACTACACAGGCATTCGATATGCCTTGATCCTCTGGAGGGACCTTCTAAGGCACCGATCATATAATACCCACAAGACACAAGGGACATGGATATTAAAGCTACTTCAAGAACATTAGCGGCTTCAGACGGATAATGTGGCGTTCTTTCCCATGAACACAGCAAACGAACACACAGAAAAGACTAGAAAGGAAATGAGGACATTGGGGAACTCAAACTCAAAGACACTGCCTACTTAAGGGCTCAGGTACCGTACAAGCACTTGCATAGGCATAAGAGTTACAACCAAACTATCCCGTTACATTCCACAAGCTAACTATATATCCTTTACCCCTACATACATACTCCTATAATGGAGTTTGAAACATCATCCCAATATATATGTTGATCCCACGTCGAGTATAACACAAAGGGTAAGAGCCCTCAGTTGTCAGAAAGAGGATAGTAGATTAATATATGGTACTTGTAGACTGCCAATAAACCGTCCTACCCACGGAGTTAGGGCTATGCGATCAGGGAATACCTGATCACTGGGATATTGGTAAATCAAACACACATAATATAAAAATTAAAAAAAACACGCCCTACATACATACGTATATTACCACCTACTAGTGCTTAAATCAATAGAATGTATGTTGAAGTCTAGATAAGGAGTGCCTGAATCGCAAAAGTATGGACTACAATGGACAGATAATAGTGTTATGTAAGCTCCCCATGTTGTTTAATGTAGGAATGTATTATTATGTACAGCTTTTTGATGTCTTAGGCTACAACAGATCTACCAACTGATGGCAATGGGGTTCCCTCCTAGAGATCATACTATGACACACATGGGTCACCACTCACAAGGCCAGGTCCTAATCTACATAAATAAAACGTTAAGGCCGTTAGCCACCCAAACAGATATCTTGATATCTACCCCCCATGGCTCCGCAGCTAGGCGCTATGACCCATTGGCGGATCCAGGGGGGGGGCAACGGGGCAATTGGCGGAAAAGCTTTGTGGCCCACAAACACCTAACTCTATCCACAGCCCAGATAGAAATGTCGAAATGTCAAGAAAAATGCTTTATAGATAGCATATGGTGCCCACCAAGCTGAAACACATTGACCCGAAACAGACAGGAGCTTGTTGGCGGTGTGGTCATGACACAGGTGACGTCATACATATTTGGTGGACATGCCCTGTCATCACAAAACTATGGAGGACTATACAGTCCCTAATACGACAAATAGGGAATATGGATATAGCATTCACGCCTGAGATATTCCTTTTACAACATATACCATGGGACCTCTCAAAATCCCAACAATTCCACATAGCCATGGCAGTAATAACAGCTATAGCTAAGGCGTGGATACAAAAAGATCCTCCACTATTAGACACGATTATCTCACACCTAGATAACAGACTTTATGAATGCACTGTCCGAGCACATAGGGCGCCACGACAATTTTGGATAGATGCATGGCGAATGTGGGACACATACAGACACCCCATGAAATGAGGCATACAGACAAGGAAAGAAGCGATGCAGACAAGAGATATAGTGTAAACTTTAGAGACTAGGCTGAAAATACCGGGAACCTATATATATATATGATAAAACAGGTACGAACGGAAGGACTGTCATAAGCAAGATGGCATATATGCAACATCAATACCCCAGACTAATATATAATGTTAGCACCACAGACAGTAGAGGTAACGGAACAATATGTTCAATAAAGTAAGACCACTAACACTACGATTTCTATACACATCATTTGATTCTAACTGACAGGAGACGCGACTCGGTGTTACACTAACACAACTACTCCAATTAGCAGTGGCGTACTACTATATTCAACTCACCATGTATAATAAAGAACACTGGGTATGATTTATGCACCTTGTGACATTGGAAGATGTGTAAATTCTGGAAAGTATGTAAATATTGGAACTGCAATTGATTTTCTGTATGGTAAATGTAGTGGACATCAATATGTAAATTGATGATTGTATATACCAACAATGCATATTTACTCTCTGTATAAAAATACAATAAAAAAATAAATAAATAAAAAAAAAACACCTTTCAGTAAAAGCTCAACATCTATAAACCAATCCATGTTAATATCCATGCCAGCAATACACATATGAGCAGATTAGTTGAAAGGTAGTTAAAGTAGGGGGACAAAGAAAAGCAGAACCAGGAAGCCTCCATGCTGGAACATGGATGAGAACAAAGGAAACATGGAATATGCTACAATCCTTTGCCCTGGAACCAGGATGCAGAAACCATACGCAGCTGCAATTAAGAAATGACATTTAACGTAGAAAAATGCAAAGTTAAGCACTTTGGGGTAAAGAATACACAAGCAACCTGCACCATAAATGGTAGAGAATTAGGGATAACACATGAGAAGGATTTTGGAATTGTTATAGAGAAACTAGGCAGCAATGTGAAATTTCAATAAGCAATGGCTAAGGCCAGTAAGGTATTGTCTTGCATCAATAGGAGTATTAATTCTCACCTGTTCTAAAGAAGGATATCATGGCACTAGAAAAAGTGCAGGCTACAATATTAATAAAAGGAATGGGACATTTTACCTACAAAGAAAGGTAAACAAATGTAAACCTTGTTATTTAAGAACAGGGGATATGATAACATTATACAAATATATCAAGGGCTAATACAAACCATTGTATGGAAATCTATTCACAAACCCCTGAAGAGCCGTCTGACCTTATACCCAGCTTTGACTGCAGACTACTATTTGATATACCTGCCGTGACAAGTACATTAAATGCAAACTGATGTTCATAGATCGATAATTACAATATCTATCAGTAGCGGTCAGACCTGGGTGTTTAGACACTTTGGCATTCAATAAATTAGTGGTAACTGCATATGTTACCGGTGGTAACTGCATATGGACAATTTTATTTTATGTTTGATTTAAAAACTTTTTGTTTTAATCAATAAATTAGTTTCACTTTGGAATTGTATCCTGGAATAATTTTTATATTAACATCCAGAAGAAATTCATCCAAAGGACGTCCAGTCTAAAGGAATATTCATCTCCACTACAAGCTTTTAGTCTGAGTCAGCTTTTTAAGTGACTCAGTAACATGTGAGTTTTTCCAGTATTTTACTAACAATATTTGTAATCTGTCAATATTACTCTATGTTTCTTTTATCTTGTTGTTTTTAGAGTTGAACTCAAGATCAATCTGGTAATAATTTGAATTGCATGCTTTAGAGTGCTCTCACCGTCTTTTATATTTTTTGTACACTTTATTTGTGTGGTTGAGTGATTCACACTAGGTGATAGTAGCACCACTTTGTACTGATTTTTCCCAAATTTCTTATATTTATTTGAGTATTTTGACCACATCATCCTCTTTATGCAGGTTGTCTTACTCCAAGCTGTATAGGCTCGAAAGCCTACTACCAATTAAGCATATTAGGTGATGTGCATCTCTGTAATGAGAAGGGGTGTGGTCTAATGACATCAACACCCTATATCAGGTGTGCATAATTATTAGGCAACTTCCTTTCCTTTGGCAAAATGGGTCAAAAGAAGGACTTGACAGGCTCAGAAAAGTCAAAAATAGTGAGATATCTTGCAGAGGGATGCAGCACTCTTAAAATTGCAAAGCTTCTGAAGCGTGATCATCGAACAATCAAGCGTTTCATTCAAAATAGTCAACAGGGTCGCAAGAAGCGTGTGGAAAAACCAAGGCGCAAAATAACTGCCCATGAACTGAGAAAAGTCAAGTGTGCAGCTGCCACGATGCCACTTGCCACCAGTTTGGCCATATTTCAGAGCTGCAACATCACTGGAGTGCCCAAAAGCACAAGGTGTGCAATACTCAGAGACATGGCCAAGGTAAGAAAGGCTGAAAGACGACCACCACTGAACAAGACACACAAGCTGAAACGTCAAGACTGGGCCAAGAAATATCTCAAGACTGATTTTTCTAAGGTTTTATGGACTGATGAAATGAGAGTGAGTCTTGATGGGCCAGATGGATGGGCCCGTGGCTGGATTGGTAAAGGGCAGAGAGCTCCAGTCCGACTCAGGCGCCAGCAAGGTGGAGGTGGAGTACTGGTTTGGGCTGGTATCATCAAAGATGAGCTTGTGGGGCCTTTTCGGGTTGAGGATGGAGTCAAGCTCAACTTCCAGTCCTACTGCCAGTTCCTGGAAGACACCTTCTTCAAACAGTGGTACAGGAAGAAGTCTGCATCCTTCAAGAAAAACATGATTTTCATGCAGGACAATGCTCCATCACACGCGTCCAAGTACTCCACAGCGTGGCTGGCAAGAAAGGGTATAAAAGAAGGAAATCTAATGACATAGCCTCCTTGTTCACCTGATCTGAACCCCATTGAGAACCTGTGGTCCATCATCAAATGTGAGATTTACAAGGAGGGAAAACAGTACACCTCTCTGAACAGTGTCTGGGAGGCTGTGGTTGCTGCTGCACGCAATGTTGATGGTGAACAGATCAAAACACTGACAGAATCCATGGATGGCAGGCTTTTTGAGTGTCCTTGCAAAGAAAGGTGGCTATATTGGTCACTGATTTGTTTTTGTTTTGTTTTTGAATATCAGAAATGTATATTTGTGAATGTTGAGATGTTATATTGGTTTCACTGGTAATAATAAATAATTGAAATGGGTATATATTTGTTTTTTGTTAAGTTGCCTAATAATTATGCACAGTAATAGTCACCTGCACAAACAGATATCCCCCTAACATAGCTATGACTAAAAACAAACTAAAATCTACTTCCAAAAATATTCAGCTTTGATATTAATGAGTTTTTTGGGTTCATTGAGAACATGGTTGTTGTTCAATAATAAAAATTAATCCTCAAAAATACAACTTGCCTAATAATTCTGCACTCCCTGTATACTACTTACATTTGTTCTCCTTGAGAGCACTACTATCTTCAGGCATTACGGTCTCATATACTTTTTGCTGAATTATTATTTTTCACCGCCTTTTTTGTGACAGTACATTGTATCTAGCAACGATGATTTTTACCGGTAGTGCTATAGAGCGCCTTACTATACACACCAGCACTCTGGGTTTAACCACACTGACCATTATACTATTTACTCTGTCCTAACAGTCCTTACGAGGACCTCACTTTTTACATTACTTAGCAGCCGCAGTACTCTGCTTGCATTTCTACATCACCGAGGATTCAACCTGGCATAACATAGTAAATATTAAGTTACTGTTTTGGGTTGCATTCAAAAAAAACTAATTGCAACATAGTATACTAATATTGTAACAAACTACAGCGGAATCGGCGAGCTGATATTTATTTTATTTTTACACCTCACATTACAGAGCAAAATTGTTAAATATGTATAGTATGCTTATTTAGCACCATTAGGTGTTGTCTCCACCTAGTGGCAACACTTGAGATTATTTTCCACTTTTATCATTCTTTTTTCTTCTTTTTTGTGTATATATTAAAAGTTACGTTTTATACTATTCATTTTTCCATTAACATGGGCTAAGAGCTAGTTCCTCTTGTCTCCTATTCACAAAAAACAGGACTATACATAGGACACAAGGTCCTATGCACTGAAAGAAAGAAGAAGATTTAGTCTAAGGCAAAGGAAAGGTTTTTTTTTTGTTTTTTGTTTTTTTACAGTGAGGATGTGGAATTCGCGCCTGAAGAAGTGTTTTTATCAGAGTCTGTACAGATGTTTCAACAGCAACTAGATGCATACTTGCAAAAACATAATATTTAAGGGTAAACATTTTTATTTGCAGAATAATAGATTCTTGATCCAGGGATAAATCAGACTGTCATTCTGGGGTGAAGAAGGAACTTGATCAAACTGGGGATTTTGCCTTGTTTTGGATCAACGGCAAAAAAAACAGATGTGAGAGAGACTGAACTTGATGGACACGTCTCTTTTCAACCTGTGTAAAATCTGGAGGAGATTGAGCAAAGGATCGAGAACAAACAAAGCAAAGCTGGGTGAGACAATGGGAAACAGAGATGAGAATGGGTCAGAGTGTAAAGGTAAGACAGGACTAGCCCACAAGAGCAACACATATACAATAAACAAGCTTGAAGCCAAAGCCCCAGAGCCCTGCTGTAAACATAAATGTATGGGACTTTATGTCTAATGTGTTTTATGTAGACTATATTGTTAATCTAACTTAAAGGGAAACTCCAGTACCAGGAAAACAATCCGTTTTCCTGGCACTGAAGGTTCCCGCTCCCTCCCACCTCCCAATCCCCGGTTGCTGAAAACCCCTTCAGTCACTTACCAGAGATAGCAACATGTCCCACGTCGCTGCTTCTTCCTCCGCTGCCGCTCCTCCTCTGCATTATGTTGGCCAGTGGGCAAGACTGATCCTGCCCACCGGCCGGAGAGACCTAATGCGCATGCGCGGCAATGCCACACATGCGCATTACAGCTCCCCATGGGAAATGCTTTTCAGTGCTTTTCATAAGCTGGTTACTTAGTATTATTAAATTATCCTGGAGGTCCTCACACAGCGTGAGGACGTCCAGCGACACTCTAGCACAGGTTTTCTGTGCTATGAAGCAGGAAATGCTCTCTAGTGGCTGTCTAGTAGACAGCCACTAGAGGTGGAGTGAACCCTGCAAGGTTTATAAAAAAAAAACTGCAATAATTACACTTGCAGGGTTAAGAGTAGCGGGAGTTGGCACCCAGACCACTCGAGTGGGCAGAAGTGGTCTGGGTGCCTGGAGTGTCCCTTTAAACAAAATAAATCAGACCAGAAGCCATAGGATGGCTTGGTACTTGTTAAGCGGCCATTCATTTTATTTATTTGTTCATTCATTAAAAAGGAACAAATAGCTGTAGTCAGAGGTGTAACTATTGTGAAAATTGCCCTTGCCCACCACGTGTGTCTCATTCCCCCCATCCCCTCCGTGTGTCTCATTCCCCCCATCCCCTCCGTGCATCTCATTTCCCCCATCCCCTCCATGCGTCTCATTCCCCCCCCCCATGTGTCTTATTCCCCCATTTAATAAAATCTTCAGAATATCATCTAAAATTACATCATAAAAAAGGACAGATAAATGGCAAACAACTAGCTCATCCCTCCCATGTGTCTTATCTTCCAATATTACAGAAAATAATAGATATTTTAAAAGCCTCTGGTGAATTAAATAAAATTTAATCCGTTTTAGCGGATTTCAGATAATTTTATTCAAAGCTAAAGCCAATTCTAGAATATTTTATGTTATTACAGAGATATAAAAGTATGACTACTGGGGGTGGTGCTTGACGGTCAAGCTGAAAAGACACACTGCCCTGAGGATCCTCCAGCTTTGTTGCCAAAATTGCTCTGAAATGATATCTCTGGGACCTCACATAATTCTGGACATATTCCTTTTTGTATGGTTTGAAACTTTTCAATAGTTTCTATCTGCAGTTTGAATCATTGGTCTGTTTCTGGAGATTGCAGATGGGAGAATCTCACATAAAATTGTTCTTAAATGCCTCTTCTCCCTCCCCTTTGTACCTGTGGAAGGTATCCCACCCATAATAGGTTTATTGTACATACTATATAGTATTGTATAATGCATGGATTGTTTGTTGTATAAGGGAAAGCAAAAAGGCTGAAGCACTCAATATGGCAAAAGAAGCTTTTGTTTTAAGGTTGAGCTATTTGGTGGTTCTTGCTCACATCTTCACAACCTTCCTGAAGAATATTTATTCTAGTACTGAAGCAAATGTTATTTGTTCTTGGTTCCTGAATGGCAGCCTGCCACATTCACATTTTATAAATCACATTTTTGCATCTTACAAATCATCGACACCCCCAGGGTCCGGTGGCGGCTATGACAAAGGCTAGCTGTAACACCCCACTTTCCCTGAGGTGTGGACTCTTCTTTTTTATTTTTGTCACCCTAATATAAGGCCTAAGGTGTTCCTAAATTAGGAATCATAGAATCTGCACCCTCAAATTTCATCCTTAAAGAAACACTATAACATTAGGAATACATAGTTGTTCTTCAACAGTGGCAAGTATTGCATTCAATCATGTGACTGTATTTTTACTGGGTCAGTGGCAAGGCATAGTCTGAAGGGTTATCCAGTAGCAGATCATGTGCAGACTGTTCCAAGAGGTATACCAGCTGTACCTTACTGCAAAGAATCTAAACGTGTGCATGTGGAGTTGCTCTGTCTCAAAAAGAGAAAACCCGACTCCTGTTTAAAGGACCACTATAGTGCCAGGAAAACATACTCGTTTTCCTGGCACTATAGTGCCCTGAGGGTGCCCCCACCCTCAGGGACCCCCTCCCGCCCGGCTCTGGAAGGGGAAAGGGTAAAAACTTACCTTTTTCCAGGCGCTCGGAGCTCTCCTCCTCCGATCCGACCGCGGCCTGATGCGCACGCGCGGCAAGAGCTGCGCGCATTCAGCCGTCATAGGAAAGCATTTACAATGCTTTCTGGATTATGCTCTCACTGTGAAAATCACAGTGAGAAGCACGCAAGCGCCTCTAGAGGCTGTCAATGAGACAGCCACTAGAGGATTAGGGGAAGGCTTAACCCATTCATAACATAGCAGTTTCTCTGAAACTGCTATAATTATGAAAAAATGGGTTAACCCTAGCTGGACCTGGCACCCAGACCACTTCATTAAGCTGAAGTGGTCTGGGTGCCTAGAGTGGTCCTTTAACTTCTTGATTGCTTAATTTCATAGGCCAATATGGTGAGTTTTTTTTATCCCAATGTGCGAGAGTACAACAGTGACTTGGGTTCCTGGTGCTGAAGCGCTAGGAGTTGAAGAGGACATGCCAGAAGAAGAACTCAACTTCTCTGCCCCGCTCCCGGCCACCCAGACAAATTCTCCAGACAGTGACAGTGCCACTTTAAAATGTTATCACAAGGACATACATTAACTTTTTTGTACAGGATAGCAATAGATTGTGTGTTCAAGAAAATCATATCAATAAACAATATCAAATTGTTACCTGGACAACCTCCTCTTTTGATTTGTAGTCTGAAACCATTATGTCTTTCAAGTCTGACAGTCTCGTAAGGGCCACAAAGAGTCGTCCTGTAGCCATCTGATGTGCATTGTCAGGCAGCAAATGGAGTAAAGCTTTGTGTAGATTTTTTATTAAATTAAATCGTGGACAAAGTGGCCCAAGTGTAGTTTTTCTGGCTTCTGTTGCAGCATTTAATAAAAGGTTCAGAATATCATCTGAAATTACATCATAAAAAAAGGACAGGTAAATGGCAAACAACTAGCTCATTTTTAAAAATATATATTTTAATTTGCATTTAAAAACAGCAATATGTTCGGATGCAACACCATAAAATTTAAGTTTTTATTCCAAACCCATACTATGTCATTAAATTAAAGAGAACTCTGTTCATGCAACATTCTCGTACAGAATTTAAAACACATTTAAAGGGACACTACAGTTACTTTATGTAAGTGATCGTCTGGGGTTGCTGTATCTCTCGTGCAGAGGGAACTTGCTGGCATTTCGCATCTGGACTGCCCGTATGGGTGGGACAAGTCTTATGATCATTTATTATTATATTATTTATACAGTGCCAACAATTCCGTTGCGCTGTACAATGGGTGGACTACCAGACACGTAATTGTAACCAGACAAATGGATGCACAGAGGGGTTGAGGGCCCTGCTCACTGAGCTTACATGCTAGAGGGAGTGGGGTATAGTGACACAAAGGGAATAAGTAGGGGTAATGAAATAGGTTGCTAGAAAAGTAATTACTGAGAACTTAGTAGGTTATTTTTGACAGTTGCAGGAGGGGAGTAATGAGGGGGAGGGAGGTAATGAGGGGGGGGGAGATGAAAACCTGCTAACAGTTTAGATGATATGCTTCCTGAAGAAGTGTGTTTTCAAAGATGTTTTGAAAGAGTGGAGACTGGGTGAAAGTCTAACAGAGAAGGGAAGGGAGTTTCACAGAAAAGGTGCAGCCCTGGAGAAGTCTTGGAGGCGAGCATCAGATATATGTGTGTGTATTAGGGAGGATAGGTAGGTTGGAGCAGCATTATGTAGGGACTTGTAAGCAAGCAGCAGAATCTTAAATTGAGCCCTATATCTAACTGGAAGCCAAAATAGGGACTGACAGAGGGGGGAGGTGTGTGAGGTGCAGGCGGACAGAAAAATGAGCCTCGCCGCCTCATTCATTATAGATTGCTGCGGTGCAATCTGGGAACATGTAAGACCACTGAGAAGGGGATTGCAGTAGTCAAGGCTAGAAAGAACAATGGCATGGCCTAGCACCTTAGCTGCGTCTGGTGTTAAATAAGGGTGGATGCGAGCTATGTTTTTGAGATTGAAGTGGCAGGATTTGGCGATCGACTGGACATGAGGGGTGAAGGAGAGGTCGGAGTCAAAGAGAACACAGAGGCAGCAGCCTGTCAGGTAGAGGTGATGGTGGCGCCATTGACTTGGTTGCATGCTTGAAGGATGAAGGAAATGTGTCGGAGGAAAGGGAGAGATTGAACATTTTAGTGAGAGGAAGAGCAAGAGAGGGAGACAGAGTGCGGATGAGATATGTTCTCTCTGTAATGGCACAAGTGAGCAAAAACTATTTTGAGACCTGAGCGGGGGATTTACCGAAGGGCAAGCTATTGAGTCTCTCTCTAAGCTTTTGTCCGTTCTCATTCTAAAACAGAAGATTGTAGTGGTTATGGTGCTTAGGGTTTTCCTTGAATATAGTGGCATGGCAAAACACCATTGCTCTTTGTGGAGGGAAAAAAAGGTTTGCTATTGTTATATGCTAAAGGAAAACATGTTAAAGGGACACTATAGTCACCTGAACAACTTTAGCTTAATGAAGCAGTTTTGGTGTATAGAACATGCCCCTGCAGCCTCACTGCTCAATCCTCTGTATTTAGGAGTTAAATCCCTTTGTTTATGAACCCTAGTCACACTTCCCTGCATGTGACTTGCACAGCCTTCCATAAACACTTCCTGTAAAGAGAGCCCTAATTAGGCTTTCTTTATTGCTTTGTTTAATTAAGATTTTCTTATCCCCTGCTATGTTAATAGCTTGCTAGGCCCTGCAAGAGCCTCCTGTACGTGATTCAAGTTCAATTTAGAGATTGAGATACAATTATTTAAGGTAAATTACATCTGTTTGAAAGTGAAACCAGTTTTTTTTTTCATGCAGGCTCTGTCAATCATAGCCAGGGGAGGTGTGGCTAGGGCTGCATAAACAGAAACAGTGATTTAACTCCTAAATGACAGTGAATTGAGCAGTGAAATTGCAGGGGAATGATCTATACACTAAAACTGCTTTATTTAGCTAAAGTAATTTAGGTGACTATAGTGTTCCTTTAAGCACTCTACTAGGAGGAAAGAAAATAGACTCTTTTTGGATTTTTAACTACAATGTGTTTTTTTATATGCTCCTATACTTTTGATTAGGAGTAAAAAAAAAAAAAAAAAAAAAGTACTGGAAAACAGCATGGGTTGAGCATCCCCAGAATATAATAAAGGAATATTTTTAAGCAGTAATATTTTTAGCTCTCATGGCTCGCTGTTTGCTATGATTTGTTAGGACATAATGTGGAGTGTTCACTGTTCCTGATAGAGAAGCAGTGGATTCAATGATTCTTGATGAGAAAAAGCTGTGGGAAACCAAATTAACAGGCAGATAGTGGCTAAAGTTACCCAGACAACTTCATCTGAAGTGATCTGGGTGCAGTGAACCTGTCAATCTAACCCTGCAATCAGGGCCGGATTAACATAGGGGCTGATGGAGCTGCAGCTCCAGGCCCATGGAATAGGCCCATTGATTTAAAAAAAAATTGTTAACATTTTTTTTTTCACACACTACTCTTAGGGATTCCACCTGGCTTTTATTTTATTGGCACAGCCAGTATTTGGGGCTGCCTGGCTGGTGCCAATATTGCAGTGATACTGGCAATATAAATGCTGGTATTTTTCTCAGTATAAACAGAGATTACGATGCAATACCAGCACTGGCCAGTAGGGGTCACTGTGTATGTGGAGACAGGCAGGGATAGGAAGTTTCAGCATATCCCTCCCTGCCTATCTATACTCACTGATCTGCAGGGGTGCAGCTACAGAGAGTCCAGACAGCAACTCCAACCCTGCCACAGCCTACAGCTCAGGGAAGTAAGGGATGGGGGAAAGGGAGAGACATACACTGAGACACTAAGGGACATTGGGAAACATTATGGCACAGACACATGGGGACACAATGTCCCCATATCTCCCAGCCAGTGTCCCTGGTGTCTCAGTGCCCCCTAGTCTCCCAGTGACCTCTAGTATTCCAGTGCCCCCAGTCTGCCAGTGTCTCACTGTCCCCATGTCTCCTAGTGCCTCCATGTCTCTCAGTGCCTCAAGTCAAGTGTCACAATGTCCCCAAGCTAGTGTCCCTAGTGTCTGTGGTCCTGGTGTCTCAGTGTCCCCATGTCTCCCAGTGCCCCAACCAGTGTCTCTAGTATCTTTGTCCCTGGTGTCTGTGTCCCCATGTTTTCAAGTGTCCCCTATTTTCCCATTGTCCCCATGTGTCCCAGCCAGAGTCCCCTAGTCTCCCAGTGTCACTGGTGTCTCCGTGTCCCTAGGTCTCCCCGTGTCCCCAGGTCTCCCCATCTTCCTAGTGTCCTAGTGACATGGGGACCCTGGGATGCATGGGGACACAGGGAGACATGGGGCATTGAGATACTGATACATAGGATCACTGGGAGACCTGGGGACACGACACTAGGGGACACTGGGAGACATGGGGCACTGAGACACTGGTACATAGGAACACTGAGACCTGGAGTAATCGGCACATGGGGGCACTGAGTCATGAGGGCACTGGGAGACATGGGGGCACTGGGAGGAATCCATCTATACAGCAGATTTAAACTAAGTAATTTTTTGGTGATTTTACAGCATTTTCTTTTATGTCACTCCTTGTGATTTACATCATGTGATGTCACCCACACATGTAATTATGCAAATTAGTAAGGCTGGTATGTTTTTCCAAGAAAGGTGGCAACTCTAACTACTTTTCACATACTCTTACTTAAGTATGGAAACTTAAGAGGGGTGTATGGGAACAAAACTTGTGTGGACTGGCTGACAATGAATATAGTTAAAGGAACACTATAGTCACCAGAACAACTACAGCTTATTGAATTTGTTCTGGTGAATAGAATCATTACCATCAGGCTTTTTGCTGTAAGCACGGTCTTTTCAGAGAAAATGCTGTGTTTACATTACATCCTAGTGATAACTTCACTGGCCACTCCTTAGATGACTGTTAGAGATCCTTCCTGGGTCATGGCTGCCTAAAATGCATCCAAACATTCAGTGTCTCCTCCCTCTGCATGCAGACACTGAACTTTCCTCATAGAGATTAATTAATTAAATTCATCTACCGTGTTTCTCCGAAAATAAGACCGGGTCTTATATTAATTTTAGTCCCAAAAAACACACTAGGGCTTATTTTCAGGGTAGGGCTTATTTATTTATGGTACCGGTATGTACATTTAACCCCCCCTTTAATTAATCCACCCCCTCTAATTAATCCACCCCTCTAATTAATCCACCCCCCTTTAATTAATCCACCCTCCTTTAATTAATCCACCCCCCCAATAAATCCACCCCCCCAATAAATCCAGCCCCCTCTAATTAATCCACCCTCCTTTAATTAATCCACCCCTCCTTTAATTAATCCACCCCTCCTTTAATTAATCCACCCCTCCTTTAATTAATCCACCTCCTTTAATTAATCCACCCCCTCTAATAAATCCACCTCCTTTAATAAATCCACCCCCTCTAATAAATCCACCCCGTTTAATAAATCCACCCCGTTTAATTAATCAACTTTACTTTAATAAATCCACCCCCTCTAGGTAAATCCACCCCCTCTAATTAATCCACCCCCTTTAATTAATCCACCCTCCTTTAATTAATCCACTTCCCAATAAATCCAGCCCCTCTAAGGTAATCCACCCTCCTTTAATTAATCCACCCCTCCTTTAATTAATCCACCCCCTTTAATTAATCCACCTCCTTTAATTAATCCACCTCCTTTAATTAATCCACCCCCCTCTAATTAATCCACCCCCCTCTGTAAATCCACCCCTCCTTTAATAAATCCACCCCTCTAATAAATCCACCCCGTTTAATTAATCTAGCCCCCCTTTAATAAATCCACCCCCCCTCTAATTATCCACCCCCCTCTAATTAATCCACCCCTCCTTTAATTAATCCACCCCCCCTAATAAATCCACCCCCTCTAATAAATCCACCCCGTTTAATTAATCCAACCCTCCTTTAATAATCCACCCCCCTCTAATTAATCCACCCCCTCTAATTAATCCACCCCTCCTTCCCCCCTAATAAATCCACCCCCTCTAATAAATCCACCCCCCGTTTAATTAATCCAACCCCCCTTTAATTAATTCACCGCCCCCTTTAATTAATTCAGTCCCAGACATAAAATATCTACTCACATTTCAAAGATGCCTTCCTTGCCCGCCGAGTCCGACCACTGGGTGCCTCACCGCCCGGAAATGGATCCTTCCGCTGAAGATCCGTGAAGGCAGACTGACGACGCTGCGCACGTCGTCATCACGTTGCGCGATGCCGCGGCCTGCAACGCGCCTCCTCCTCCTCATAGAAGAAGGAAGTCCCGCCGGGCCGAAAGGTACAATGCCTAGGTCTTATTTTCGGGGTAGGGCTTATATTGCAGCCCACCCCGAAAATTCAGCTAGGTCTTATTTTCGGGGTAGGGTGTATTTTCGGGGAAACACGGTATATAAGGAGATACTGATTGGCCAGGGCTGTGTTTGAATCATGCTGGCTCTGACCCTGATCTGCCTCTTTGTCAGTCTCAGCCAATCCTATGGGGAAGCACTGTGATTGGATCAGGCCACCACTTCTAACGATGTCAGCAGACTGCTTCTTTTTATGAGTCCAACAGCATGCAGAGTTACAGCTTGAGGCTTGAATATGGTAGAATTTTGCTATATTTATGGAGGCCACAAGGGGCCCAGGGGGGCTAGATGGTGGTGTTAACACCATAGGGTCATGAATTCATGTTTGTGTTCCTGACCCTATAGTGATCCTTTAAGGTAATGTTGACTTTGGTCTCTCTAACACTGTGGCATGTTCCTTTTCTTCTAAACTCACTACATACAGCTTTTCTCTGACCCAGACCATATACCAGGAGCTTCTGCCTGCTAGTAAGAAGGTAAGGAGACAAGTGGACCAGCGAGTGCTAGGGGACAGTCCTTAGAAAGCGTTGAACGAGCGCATCATTAGATGCATTTATGCCAAGCTCAGGGTGCTGTCTGCATAGTATGCCCTTAGTTGGCCAGCTGCATGATTGGCAGGCAGCCTGACATGCATTCATGCCAGGCTGGTCTTCTAATTCTTTGAGCAGACATGTCCTCTTTTTGGGCATGTTCGCCCCTTTTGGAAGGTTACGTGATTTGTGTCAGTGGCACACCCTTTTACCATGCCCATTGACTTCTTGCTTGACTGGACACTGCTGTTAGGGGTTATGGATTTACTTGAAAGATGAAAACATAAATTAGAGAGAGATTAGCCTAGGGTATGTGTTTTCTTATAGCTGCTGTTTTCGTTCTCTCCAGCACCATCTCAATCAGATTCATGATGCTTGGGAGTGTTTTACTGTTTTTGGTCGAAATGATTCTGTAATTAGGCCCGTCATAATTGTCAGCACCAGGCCCACTGGGCTCTTAATCTGGCCCTGCCTGCAATGTAAAACAATGTAGTTTTAGAAAATTCTTAGGGTGCATTGAATTAAAGGAGATTGCTGGTGATGTCAGTTTGGATGTTGACATCAACGTTGGAGGCGCTGGATACTGCTATGGAGGAGTATGGATGCTGGAAACGAGGTGAGAAATCATTACTTCAAAATAATTCTTTAATATCAAAGGGGATGAACAAAATGTCATTGTTATTTTCAGGACTATAGCTTGCCTTTAAATCTGAGCATTCAGTTGTGTATTTCCACAATTTAGGTTTATATTTCAGCCATTCTGTTGCCTCTGAAAAGGCTTACAACTGAACTACATTCCAAGTAATTTCGAGCTTGTGCTGCAAAATCCTGACATTGATAAATCTTGTGAACAATGTTGCAGTCTGAATATGCCAGAAGGTCACCAATTATTTTCATAGAGATCAGGGGCATTCAGATTTTAGTGAATAATTCTACACTTAATCTGTTGGATGTTTATTAATTCTGTATTCTAACTGACAGGGCCTTGAAATGCCTTCTGGTAGGGAGGATGCATGTGCTCTCAGTGTAAAAACAGTAAATAAATTCTAGAATCTTAAAGGAACTGCTATAAGTAATTTATTGATTTCACATAGAGTACATTAATTTCACATTTACCTGGGTATCCCTTTCAAACATCTTTCGGTAACTTGACTTTTTTTTTTTTTTTTAATTTGTTTGAATATCTATGGGGATCCCAGGATAAATGGTCTTTATAAAGATCCATACAGACCAGGTCTCAAGTGTAAAAGGTGTCTGGAACCTAAGGCTGTCCACATGGACCATTTGTCTCCTATATGAGTGAGGAAAGCACTTGGTAGTGGGACCCTTGAAAGCCCAAGAGGCTGATGCAACACACAATGCTGATTCAATAGGGAAATCGGGCAAGGAAAAAAAGTTGTCATAATTTCACGAGACTAGGGCAGGTTTAGGCAATGTTTTAGCAGTACTGTGCCAAAACAAGATCTTGAAATCCCTTGATTTGCTGGTGCTTTTCAAGTTGAGGGCCCATGCCAGAATTTTTGGCTACAGAGTCAAAAAGGCATTTTGCTGCCCTTGTCCCCCCAAAAAATACATCTTCACCTGTATGTTTCTTAGTCCCCTCTCTCGAATTTCTTACTCCTTTTGTGTTTCTTATCCTCCCCTTTTTGTCTTACACTCAACCTTTAATATATCTTATCCTTACCTTTGTGTCGCTTACACAAATCCCTTTGTGCGTCGCTTTCTTCCCTCCAGTCCCTCTGAGCGTCGCTTTCTTCCCTCCAGTCCCTCTGTGCGTCGCTTTCTTCCCTCCAGTCCCTCTGTGCGTCGCTTTCTTCCCTCCAGTCCCTCTGAGCGTCGCTTTCTTCCCTCCAGTCCCTCTGTGCGTCGCTTTCTTCCCTCCAGTCCCTCTGTGCGTCGCTTTCTTCCCTCCAGTCCCTCTGAGCGTCGCTTTCTTCCCTCCAGTCCCTCTGTGCGTCGCTTTCTTCCCTCCAGTCCCTCTGTGCGTCGCTTTCTTCCCTCCAGTCCCTCTGAGCGTCGCTTTCTTCCCTCCAGTCCCTCTGTGCGTCGCTTTCTTCCCTCCAGTCCCTCTGTGCGTCGCTTTCTTCCCTCCAGTCCCTCTGTGCGTCTCTTTCTTCCCTCCAGTCCCTCTGTCCGTCTCTTTCTTCCCTCCAGTCCCTCTGTCCGTCTCTTTCTTCCCTCCAGTCCCTCTGTGCTTCTCTTCCTTCCCTCCAGTCCTTCTGTGCGTCTCTTTCTTCCCTCCAGTCCCTCTGTGTGTCTCTTTCTGCCGAGCCTGTGTATGGTGCTATATTGTGCTTGTGTTATTTATGGGTGCTGCAATTGCTCTGTAGCATTGTATTTGTATATTCATGAATAGTTTGTGGTATTGTGTATGATAGCTATGAATGTGGGCTGTGTATGGTGGCAGCTTGAGGAATTGTCTTGATGATATGTCACATTGTGTGTTTGGTGGTGTGTGGGGCTTCTTGTATTATTGCATGTGAGAGCCTGCTTAAGGGATTGTCAGTGGTGTTGTGTTTGTGGGCACTGTGTGTGTGTTTGTGTGTGGCCTGTTTGTATTATTTGTATAAGGGAGAGGCTGATTGGCCAGCACGTGTTTTGCATTAGCCTCTCAATGCTTTCCAGTGGGAAAGAATTGGATTGTCTGAAATAATCAATTTTGATGATCTCAGTCATAGAGGGGGATCAGGGTCAGAGCCAGTGCGGGCGGACCCGACTAGGGCTATGTCAGCCGGCACTAGCAGGGGTAAGTGGGGGCTGGACCCATAGTGTTTTTAACACTATTTGCATTCCTGACATTATAGTGTTCCCTTAAGGAATTTTAGCACTGGGTTTGCTAGAACTTCAGTATTTCTCTAGAGTCTAGACAAATACTGCTTATTCATTCATCCAGTGTTATAGGAAAAGTGTTCCCTTGTAACATGTGCTGCAAGGTGGAATTAATCAAGGCAGTTGCTCTGAAATGCAGTCTTGATTAACTAACTCCTGCAGCATTTAAATTTACATAGTAGTAGGTTATCAGTATTTTAGTACTCCCAGGAAAAGATGAGATTTGCTTACCTTAACTTGTCGCTTAGCAGGCGCCATTTTTTTCCAGCACCAGGAGACGATGTTAATGCTTACCTCTTGCACATGGGCGTGAATACAGCATTGAAGTCTATGGAGGATTCCGCGGGATGTTCCATAAATACAGCTAATCTCTCTGAAGCCGTCACTGGCGATGGCTGGGAGATTGACACTTTTAGACAAGCCATGCCTAGTGTCTAGAAATGTCAGAAATAGGAAAACTACAAAGACAAAGTAGTCCCTACTTTGTCACAATATGTCTCTTAACTTTGTAGGAATTTCAGTGATTCTATCTTTACAAAATATTCATTTTTCGTGAGGTTGACAGTGCCGCTTTAAGTCATCCAAAAAATATAAAAATAATGTCATAATGTGACAATAAAATTATGTGTACATAGCTCTCTTTATATATTTATATCTATTCTAAAATCTCAGTAAAAGGATAAAGTACAGGAGTATTACAAGACCAGATACTTCAATACTAGTTACATAGTAGCTGCATCCATGGACTATAAAGGCTACTCTAAAGTTCACTGCAAACTCCCACCACTCTGCCAATATTTCCCTTACCTAGATTAACCTTAAACACCACAGCTGCGGCCACCAGAGATCCGGCCGAGGCTCCATAAACCTTAGGTGCCGACTTAAGGATTTCTGGCGCCTGTTCCAACAGGGCTTTCACTGCTCCAATCTGATACAAGGAAAGGAACCCGCTGCCTGAAAAGGATAATGATAGAGGGCTATTTGTGGATACCAGCTCCTGCTGTGCCACTGCAGCGTCGGCTTTGGGGTCTGATTCTGATTTCGTCCAAAAAAATGAAAACAATTTCTTCCAAAACTGGAACATTTTAAAAATGTAGATATTTAAAAAATAACCTTTTCATCACAAATCGTTAATAGTTGAAGGGGGGACATTAGAATCGGCGATCCTGAACGTTCCTTTAAATGTTTTGCTCGTTTTCCGCCGTCCTGACTGACACAGTGTTTCAGATTCACATTCCAGATTAGCAGTGTAACTGTTTCATTGCCAGGCATCACAGGCAGGTTACACAACACACACAACTTCCAAAGAAGTGTAGCTGGTTGGAAAGTATCTAGATAAATAATTGACTCACTAGTCGTTTGCCCTCATATACTGCCTTGTTTTAAATAATAAGATTTATCCACAGAATGCAAAGTTAGCACATATATGAAAAATAAAATGACAGTTATGAATACAGATTGATACCTGAAAATATATGTTGTAGTTTTGATTTATTTTTATTTTTTTTATTAATTCTGTACAGAAATATTGCCAGGGGTTTATAAACTGATATGGTATAACTTTCTAGAAAACATATATTTATCACAAACTGTAAGTGTGACAAACCTGTTTAAATGCATTTTGTTATGAATATTTGCAAGAGATGGCAAGTTATATCTGGGAATGCATTTTATTCACAAAATTCCATTTTATTCACAAAGTAAATCCCTTCGATGTGACCCCAGCTGGGGAAAATCTAGAACAAACAGCCTCAAATCATCATCATCAGAGATGAAGTGCTTATTATTACTATTATTATTTTATTATTTATATAGCACCAGCAAATTCCATAGCGCTGTACAATTTGAAACATCTGACTGCTAAACACATTAGACTAGGGGATAGGCACAGACACCCTACTAGGGTGTCATTTGGCTATGAATAAATAGATGTACGTATGTCTTCTTTTTTCTATCAGGATTTGATGCTGTCTTTTCTTGGTTTCTATTTGTTAGAATTTGTAGTTTCCTGAATGACCTCTAGAATGTTGATATAATTTCTACATAAATAATTACAGTAGTTAAAGTTACACCAAGGATCTGTACCATGCAGGAAGGATATTACAGGATGCTAGTCCTCCTTTCTGGCCGCCCTAAAAAAAATAAAAAATAAAACAATAGAGAAAAAAAACTCACATAAACATTGTATTTATTGAAATTTCTGGAAATGAGCAACTGAATTAATTTTGGCATTTTTGCAATGCACATTGTTCCTCTGTAAATGAAAGCATTCTTGTTAAATTTTACCATATGTGTTATATAAGGGACACATGGGGCTTCTTTTTCCTACTAGGGATAATAGAGGTGCCAAAAAGGTATACCCCATTCTAAAGGCTAGCAAAGCATGATGAGCATTGTAGTTCTAGGGGATCTACTTTTCCTGTTGGTGTATTAGTTATTCTCGAGGGAACAAGTTCCTATATGTTTCTGTCGGGGAGTGCCTTTTTTCAGTCTGCCTACACATGGGATTCAATTATGACCTTCTCTCTCTTCTTTTTCAACAACGTTCAGTTTGGCGAATTCCACAAGCGTTATTTTGACTTGGTGTCGTTTCATTGGTGGAAACAACTCCATTTAAAAAATTCATACATTTGTGGCTTTTTTAGTGGAGCTTGGCAAATTTTGCAGAGCATTCTCAGAATGGGTAATAGTTCATTTTCTGTATAAATGTATTTATTTATTTTTTATATATATATATATATCCTAATCCTGATGAAAGTCCGGGCATGGGACTGAAACGTTGATCCCTTGACCCTCAATAAAGAAGTTTATATTATTCAGCAAGACCGTGAGTGCATCCCTTTCTATTACCTGAACTGTATATATGTGTGTGTGTGTGTGTGTGTATATATATATATATATATATATATATTTTATTTCTCTGTTGCCAATTTATTCTATATTCACTGTGAGCACTTCTTTCTAGTTGCACAGTATCTTCATGGTCTCCCCAAAACGAAAACGATGTAGGTCATAATCTAGAGGCACAAGGTATGTCATAACTCTGCCGTTCTTATATGCCTGGTTAATTTTTATTTTTTTATAATATATTTTTATTTTTCCAAAATGTTTTACATTTATCAAAAATACGTACAATACCTCAATGAGCAATACAAGTATACACGTAAATTGTTTCCATTAAAACAGATGTCTATAAAGCACATTTATACAGACAGTGCTTCAAATAACTTTAAATACGTGTACATAAAAATCCGTATGTTGCAAAGCTAAGATAAACCGCAGTAGGATTACAGTGTCTGTAAGTTACATAAATAGCAGAATTGAGGTATCACCAAACGACATTCAGACTGAAACTCACATACAGTCCCGAGGAACTAGCATTATTCTAGCCATATATGTAATTACTTCGCAAATGGGTGCATCTTTTTTCGCTAGTTTCCCTCGGGAGCCAAACACACACCGGGGACATCACAGACCATCTATATTATAAACCTTCATTACTAGCCATAAGCTTGTCAACTATATTTTTCCACCTACAAATTTTCCTCAAACCAACAGAGTTTCCTTGAATTATTCCAATTTCCATTTTACATTGGTATGTGACTTGTTTTTAAATTTCAGCCCACTCTAACACGTTATTGCTTTTCCAATGCCTAGCTAGAACTATCTTAGCTGCCATTAAAATGTGTATTATTAACATGCTTTTTTCAATAGGCATAAAGGGCCATCCCTGATGTAACAAAAAGCTCTGTGGTGTAAAAGGTATATATATCTGGCGGGTATTATAAATCTGTTGATAGATATTCTTCCATATCTTGCTTAAAGATTTACATTGCCACCAAATATGGAGATAATCTCTTTTCCCATCATCACATATATAACAAACATGATTCTGATTTTTATAAATTTTAGCCAATTTTTCTGGGACCATATACCATCTGTTTATGATATAATAAAATAAAAGAAATGGTGAGAGCACTCAAAAATGATATAAATTTTACCCAAACTCTGTCAATCAATCTGAAATATTAAAACAGAAAAGAAAAACATAGGGTAATATAGTTTAAACAGAATATGTGTGTAGCAATTAATGGTCTCACTCACATATACAGAGCCACTTAAAAGCTGGCTCAGACTTCAGGCTTGAAAAACAGTGGAAAACAGGACTTTACATGGGACTTCACACGCGTTTCGGCTTTCGCCTTCATCCGGAGTGTACTCCGGATGAAGGCGAAAGCCGAAACGTTTTGAGAGACTGGACTTACTTTTTAAGGGATTTATTTTCCGAGACTTTATATTCTGTTTATTTATTTTGAATACATTTTATTTGTAACCACCTACATTCTGGCGTCCTGAATGAAATTGGGGGTACCAGCTACAGAATCCTTGGAAGTTCCCATGTGAAGTCCTGTTTTCCACTGTTTTTCAAGCCTGAAGTCTGAGCCAGCTTTTAAGTGGCTCTGTATATGTGAGTGAGACCATTAATTGCTACACACATATTCTGTTTAAACTATATTACCCTATGTTTTTCTTTTCTGTTTTAATATTTCAGATTGATTGACAGAGTTTGGGTAAAATTTATATCATTTTTGAGTGCTCTCACCATTTCTTTTATTTTATTATATCACTTATTCTATTTGTGGTGGTGTGGCCCACATAGGTGATTGTAGCACCATTTTATTTTAGGAATTGTTTTACTATATTCTTATTGTACACCATCTGTTTATGAGTTTATAAAAATTCTCTACTATATTCAGACAATGTACCGATTTTATTGACCTTAACTATCGCACTTATCATATCTTGCTCAGTAATTTCAATATGTAGATCTTTTTCCCACTTGATCTTAGATTTCCGGACATGGGGCTTCTGAGAGTCCTTTAAGAACTCATAACATCTAGTAATATGGCCTTTAGTTCTATGAGTTTCCAGAATCTTTTTAAGATTACTTGAGTTTTTATTGACCTGGAAATCCAAGAATTTTGCCAAATAGAACTTGATTTTTAAAGGGACACTATAGTCACCTGAACAACTACAGCTTAATGTAGTTGTTCTGGTGAGATCTATAGCTCCCTGCAGGCAATCTAATGTAAGTACTGTATTTTCAGAGAAAATACAGTGTTTACATTGATTGATAGGAATACCTTCAGTGGCCGTCACTCAGACGGACACCAGAGGGACTTCCTATCATGTATGGCCCTAAAAAGGCCATGTACACATCAGACGTATTAAAATACGTCTGACGTGTGCAGGAGAGAGAAGGCACTGTGTGCACGCCTTCTCTCTCCTGCTTGTCAGCAGAGGAGAGGGGGCGGGCAAAGACCGCGAGCTGAGCTGTCAGTCAGCTCAGCTCGCGGCCGCGCATGCGCGGTAGCGCGCTCAGGACTTCATAGGGCGGCATGAATGCCACCCTATGAAATATGTGCGCATGTACGGCAAAGCCGTGCATGCGCACAAGGGAGCAATGCTGTTTCCAAATGGAAGCGTCTGATTGCTCCCTGCTCGCGCCCGCCTATTTCGTAATTTTGATGAAATAGGGGGCGTGGCTTCACGAGGCTGGAACCAGGTGAGTAAAAAGGGCTGCCCGGAGAGACCCTTTAAATATGTAAATATCTCCTTGTTATCAATCCCGAACTCTATTTGTAGCTCGTTAAATGGCTTGATTTCCTTTCTATCTATAATCTTTTGGATATTCTTAATTCCCTTCTGTGTCCATCCACTGATATTAATATCCTCAATATTCCCCTTAATCACCTCTATGGGTAAGAATGGAAACAGTCTGTATTCTATTTTAAAGTCTTTCTTGATTTTATTCCAGTGTCTCAAAATACTGTCAGTAATAATCGAATTTCCTGGACAAACTGGTTTGCTCTTATTTTTCTCCTTTCTTGTTGCCCAAAATAGGGCGGACAGACTGTCTGTCTCTACTAATGATTGCTCTATTTGGTACCAGGCTTGATCTTTTTGATCTGTACTTAAGGTATTAACAGCAGGTGCCAACATACAGGCATTGTGATATTCTATTATATTTGGGGCAGCAAGACCCCCATCTTTTTCTTTCTTAGATAAAAATTTAAACTTATTCTGGGTTTTTTTCCCCTTCCAAATGAATTTAGAGAATGATGACTGTATCATTTTTAACCAGGGAATTGGGACGTGTATTGGTAGCATTCTAGAAAGGTAATTCCATTTGGGCAAAATGTATGAGTGAATAGTATTTATACGCCCTATCCAGGAAATCTCCCTACTAGCCCATTCTTTTAAGGTCTTATTTGTATATTTTATGAGGGGGGGGAAATTAACTTCTATGA